AACAGCAACAACATCACAATGAGCTTTATTGGCCGAGATTGTGCACAAACAAGAAAGGAAAAAAACAAAACAAAAGTACAGTCCTGGGACCATCTTGAATCTTGTATCTAAGGTGATTGGACCAGCTTTTTGTACCTTTTAGCTGTTGTTTATGAGCAAAAGGAAGTATGAAGTGTTGTAAAATCCCCCCTGGCAGAGAGAGGGCTGTGCTGACTGTGATCTTGATGAAACAGTGGACCAGCACCAGTAGATGACTCAACACCCCAAACCATTACTGAGTGTAGAAATGTCCCACTGGACTTGAAGCAGCTGCATCATCATCTGTAGAGAAGCCATTGCACCTAGTCTAGAGGGTTTACCTTTTAGCCCAGGTAAGACCCTCCTGACATTGTCTCTGGTTAAGGAGAGTCTTGGTACTTTAAAGTAGTAGTTCATCTCCTGCACACTGGGTTCTTGTGCTTACAGTGGCTCTTTGAGTTCAGACTCTAGTCACAGCCTAGTTTCCTCCAAATCCCTGATTATGGTTTTGCTTCCCAGTCCTCTGAAGCAGGGTCTCCAGTTCCAAGCCTCTAGATGTGTACAAGTTGTAGGACTCCGGCGGTCGAGGCCTGGAGTTGAAGACCTCGACTCTAAAGGAAGCAGTAATCCATGCTACTTGTGTAGCTTTTACTACCAAACTTTGTCTTCCCTCTTAACTTCCATTTACGAGGTGAGAAAATCTTTTTCAGCAACAAACTTTAGTAGTTTGCCCTCCATGTGGGTGTGATGGTCAGTGACCGTCAGCTGAACGAACAAGTTAGCCATCTTGTGTAGAACATGACATTTCTCTATTAATTTAGTTTTTATGAATTATTATTGTAATTAGTGGTGTCCTGACATATTCTAAAACACAAAGAAACTGACTTTTGGGTTTTCGTTCACTGTGAGCCAGAATCACCAAAATTCACAGGAATAAACACTTGAACTTTAGCATTCTGGGTAATGAATCGTTTTAAGTTTTCAATTTAATTCCTGAAATAATAAATTCACTTTTCAGTATTCTGATTTATTTTAGACAGAGCTGTAGACCTTCTGACGTGATCGTCTTAAGTTTCCACAGATTAATTCTGCATAAACGTCCCGTAGCCTCACTTCATCAGCATGTCAGCTCCCCCTCCCCTCATCTGTTTCTGGTCCTAAGTCATCCTGTGTATCTGTGTCTGCGATGACGTAAGTGTGATATCTGTCAGTGTGGGGCTGCTGCCGATTTTGATTTGATTTTTTTTTTCTTTCCCCTTATCTTTTTCTCTTTAAATTCGCCTCTTCTGCGCTTTGTCTGATGTTGGCATTGCTACACCTCCACCAGGAAGCGGTTTGTTCAACTTTCTCATCATCTCCATCTGTGCATGCTTCTCACTGTGACTTTCATTCACTCGAACCAAAATTCAGTTGTGTTGTCACCTAGAGATTAATCACGCTTGTTTTATCAGTACTTAAGTCGGCGATAATTACATCCCAAGGAAAACTATCTGGTGATTGAAAGGGTACCATAGATATCAGACCAATTGCTCGTTGAAACAGTCATACTGGGACATTTTTCTGACACTCCCAGTGACTCAATGCAAGCGTTGATTTATCTTAAGCTGACAACTCAAAGCAAAAAATCACCACCTTGATCATTAGAGGGAATATGGTGACTCACAGCTAATATTCCAGATATCTATGCAATTCTGGATGAATGTGGGTGGTTTTTTTTTTTATGTGGGTGTTTTTTATGTCGTGTAGAAGACGAGAAAGTTCAGCTTCATTGTGAAACGGTGAAAAGCCGTTACTGCTGGAAGTAACGGCTTTTATATACAAAACCTTTTGACGATTCAGAACCAAAATGCTCACATTTACTTACTGTACAAGTTAAGTTTATTTGTACATCACATTCAGCAACAAGGCGGTTCAAAGTTTTTTTTACACCATAAAAACCTGGTCGCCATGAAGCAAGTAATGAATTTTGTAAAGTTCATTGCTTGTTGCCATAATTAGGCAAATATACCGATCAATGTTCCAGTTAATCAGCGCTACATTCATGATCCATCCTTAAATGACAAATGAATGAAGTAGAAAGAAAAGAGTTAATATGAACAGAATTTGTTTTCAGTTCATGTTTCAGTCTGGGCGTATAAACTGAGGCAGTGGTACAATCTACGGCGCGCGTCAAACCTGAGGCCCGCCAGAAGTTTTTATGTGGCCCCCCAGTCTCTAGAAATGGAGCCCTTAACACTACAGCTGTGTGCTTAAATATTATTTTATTAATCAAATTTATTCTCCCGTCTTGGATCAAGGTCAAAGGATTTTTAGTGTTATTTAAATTCAAGAACTTATCAAACCCATGAGACGGCTGTTTATCAGTATTTTAACAGTTTGTTAGTGGATAATTTAATCAAATGTTTCTGTCTTTTAAAATATTCCTGATGGCCCAAAATTAAAGTTTAACATCCTCGATCTACGCAATAAAATAACAGTGCATATAGTCGGTGGCAGGAATGAAAATATAACTTTAAAATGACTTCAAATTATAATAAATTATTGTTCAAACATACTCTCAGATAATACATCTTTTTATTTATCACCTCTTTATTAAATGTACAATTTCTTCCACGGTCAAAGTTTTGTCTAAAAACAGGTCAAGTCTCATAAGAGCTCGAGTTGCTTAAGCTGTAAAATCTCCTTCGTGTTACTTTGTTTCAAAATGTAAACAATAATGGTCTTAAAATGGACCTAAAACATGTTAAATTCATGTCACTGACGCCTACAGAGACCCTGGTAAGAAGACTTGTTCTGGTTTTGTTTTACAAGAGGCAGAAATGATGCTCCGGGTTTGTTTTCCCTGCAGGTTGAGTTCTTGAATTCAGTTATTGTCGACCTCCAGAGGAAGAACGAAGAGCTCAAAGACAAACTGGAGAAAATGGCAGCCGCTGCCCTCAATGGAAATAGTCCAAGCGAATTGGATCATAAGTAAGTCCTTGTCAAAGCAGATTATCTGGATTTATTTTTGGGCCCTGACAGAAACTCAGAGAGGTGCCTTTATTTCCTCCTGCAGTTATGACAAGCAGCCAGAGAAGAAGAAACTTCCTCCGAGGAAGTTCTGCGACATTTGCGACTGCTTCGATCTCCACGAGACGGAAGACTGCCCCCTACAGGAGCAGACGCCCGACTCCCCTCCTCACACCACCTACCACGGCAGTAAGGGTGAAGAGCGGCCATATTGCGACACCTGCGAGGTCTTCGGCCACTGGACCAAATCCTGCACCGACGACCAGACCTTCTAAAGCCTTTTCTAAAACCGTCGTTCGCACAATCAATACATTTGCACATCTTGTTGGTCGCGCCGTTCTCTTCCGGGTCTTGGCTTGTATGCATCTCTCATGCTTGTTTTTGCCAAGCATATTTGCTGTCCACACTTGCCTTGTAGAAGAACGGCTCTCTGCACATTTCCCGAACATTGAGGTTACAGAAAGCTGCAGCGGTTTGTCAACTGGGAACGACTCTGGAGGGGGAACGTTTCTGGTTCTGGATGGGTGAGGCGGTGGGGGAACGCGGTGGGCTTCAGTTTAGTTAATTTATCAGTATCCGACCACTGTTTGCACAGATTGTCAGGGGCTACAGAGATAATATAGTATCTTAAACTATGTGTATCTGAAACTGTAAAATACTTGATTGAAAACAGTTTTGAGCAAAAAAAAAATTGAAGAGTTATAGTTTATTTTTTTATGCCTGGAAATAGTATGTACTTAATAATGTAACTTTGTGATGGGGACAGTCTGGAGCAGAGCGGAGAAACCCGGAGCTCTTTGGCTCCAAACTTTCGATGGTCCTTTTGAAATGGATGCTGGGAAATTTATTAAGATTCTCACTTACTGTAAACCTTTGACTCCTGTTATTATGGCCTTTTCAGGAAGTTTCTAATCAGTGAAGCTGGTTTCCTTTCGCATCAACGAATACTTTGACATTTTTGATAAGTTTTAAATATCTGTATGAAAATAAAGTTTATGGATGAATAAAGTGTCTGCATGCAGTCATGAACAGTAATCATAATTTATGTTAATTCTCAAAATCTGTAGATCTGTGAGTGAATTGAAGCCAAACCCATTGAGGTACACGCTTCAGAGCCTCACCACATATTTCTGGTCTAGTTTCAAGTGCACATATCTTACTACGCTTAAAATATTAACTGACAAATGGCTTTTTGGCAAGAGAAATTAGATTAACTCAACTATTCCTTAATATTGATGAGAATATGCTCGCTGTAAGTGAAATGATCTCCCAGTGGTGTTAGTAATGTTTCCTCAATATTAAGGAATTATTGACTTAAATGACTGTTATGTGCTGGAAAGTTGCTTATTCGCTGGTACACCTCAAATAAGACAGAATCAAGATATTTATATTAAAAACTAGACCAAAAATACTCTAAGGTTTTGTGGTTGTTTTTTTTTCTTCTTTTTCTGTCTTTCGTTTTTTTTTTGTTTTTGTTTTTTTTGCAGTGCAGAACCTTGTAAATGTTTTCGGACGGGTTCGGCTATGAAGTGCAAGGAAGTGTTTTTAAAAATTCACAAATTACGGTGTGCCTCAAGTTTCAGCCTTCTTACTTCTGATACCCCTAAATAAAATTCAGTGCAACCAGTTATTTGCAGAAACGTTCTTCTGTGTGTAATTGAATCTCTCAGTCAGGGTTTCTGTTTGTGAACGTTAGAAAACGGCAGACAAGTTGCGGAAAAGTTTAAAGCAGCATTGGGTCATGAAAGATTGTTAAAGTCTGAACATTTCAAATCGTCACAGAATAAATTATGGCTCGGATGCGAACGAGACATTCACGTAAACTGACAGGTGAGCCAAAAGAGCGTATAATTAGAAAATTATACGAGCTGAAGGTTGGCCTCGCTTATGAAGTTTACAAGAACGTCTGACTCCTTCCTACAGGGAAATTGATGCGGATGTTTTTCACACCACACTGAGGAAATGCCGCAGTGTAAATTGGTCAGCTGTGCATTTAATTTCATACCACTGAAATATAATTCTCATGGCATGAAGAACGCATTTATATATATTTTTATGAATACTTTCATGTCCACCTCAGCTCTGTGATTTAGGCGTTTTCTGCAGGCATGACGCCACAAAGCGCGTCGGACACCGTCTTCCATTTCTCCAGCTCCACACTCAGCTCCACAGTCACCGGTACCACTGGGACCGGGGTGGGCAGGACTGTGCGCTCGTCCATGTCACGTTTCTTTGCGTCTTTCCCCTTTCCTGCAGAGCAGAGCAGAAAGGCAGCAGGTGAAGCCCTGAGCAAACATCCTCAGTGACGCAGAGTAACTTTTACTCATATTTACCTTTTGGAGTTTTCTGACGTTCGAAACTTTTACTTTGTTTCTGCTTTGCTTCCTTGTCGTCCTTTTTCTTGTCCTTTTTCTTGTCTCCTTTCGTTTTCTTCTCAGTTTCCTAAAGATGAGTTAAAACAAGCTGCATGTAAACCAGGTTCCCAATCTCAGCTGGTAATTCAGTCACCTGGTTTCTGTTCAGCCTCACTGATGGGTTGTATGGACAATGCAACGTCAACTTGCCTCCTCCTGTTTTGCTGGAGGCTCTACATGAAGCGGGCCAAAGTTGCAGACAGTCTTGACCCTTTGACCTCCACTGACCAGGCTTTGCATGGGGATGTGAACTGAGTTGAGTAGTTTTCTGATAGGTGGATCGCGGACCAGTTCTGGAGGACCTTTTTTCTTTTTGGGAGGCGTTTTAACCTGAAAAAGAGAACAAAAACTTGATGCCGCATGAATGTCTTTTTATTTTAACACCATCTAACTGCACTTTTGCTTTGTTAGAAAAAAGCAAAAGTGCATATATGCATTTCATATATAAATTTGTACGTATTACAAAAACAGTTGTTTTCATAAAACAGATTAATTATACGGACTAAAAGCAAAACCGAACACTAAGAAAAATATCTCAACTGTAGAACCTGCATGAATAAAATATCAGTTTTATCAACTAAGCGTTTTTAAAAGTTGCAACAAGATACACATTTACTGCATCACAACATATCAAAAAGTTGATACAAACTTCCATATTTTCCCTGAATCCTTCCGTCTAGATACCACGATAATTCTGATTCATGAAGCAACTCTTTTTATAAATAGTTCATTTGTCTGCAAAAATGTGAACAAATAGTTAGTCATAAAATAAACGGTGCATCTGCAGTTGCAACATGAAATAAAGCCCAAAAATCAGCCCACCGTTTACATGGCTGCTAAATCCTTCTAGCTAAGTTCTACTACAATTAGAGATTTTACTTTTGTGTTACTTTCTTCCAATTTGGAGGTTTAGTTCTATCTCCTCAGCATTTACCAGCATTATCATCAGCCTCATCAAACGTTTCGTTGCTCTTCCCACACATTTGCTGTTCAGAGTTTAAGATCTGATGTCTTCAGGTGTTGCTTCAGATCGTGATTACACCAACTAGTGCAGATGAGAGTGACACATTTAGTTGTCATTCTCATCCCGTTTGGAAATTGCACACCAGGATGAACCAGGCGTGTGAAGGTGAACAAGTCTCATCATGGAACAGCAGCTGGGGGAATTTCTTCACTTTTTCCATGTTGTCACAACACAAGGAAGCAGGAATTTTAAGGTCCAGCTGAAATGCATCCGTAGGTGTGCCACTCAAATGTGAAGCCTACAAAACGATGACATCATTTTCTGGGTTTTTCCAAAATCGACTTAAAGGCTGAGTAATCTTAGGAAATATATAATTCTGATTTTGAAGCAACAAATAAATCTCTGATGATAAATCGCTTATTTGCTGTAGTAGTTTGGCTTTGCTATCAGTGAGCTCCAAACACAAGTTTTGTGTGCTTTTGTTTTTTTTAATGGTTGCAACATTCGGTTTACACCTGATCAACAAAACGGATCAATGAATCTAGCCGAGCCTGTTGTTTACGGTTTCACGGTAATGAAATAATAAACTCACTTTCTGCTCCTTCTTGCCTTTCTTCCCTTTCGGTGGGCTGGCTTTGACCTGGTGGGCTTCTTCAGAGGGCGCAGGCCACAACAGAGTCTAGAATATCAGATGCATAAAATAAGACAGGACACATTTTCCTGCCTAAAATTAAAGCATCGTGTACCTTTTCCTCCATTAGGTCGAGACGAAGTCCACGAATAAAGAACCTCTTCAGGGCTCCCAGGCAGCTGACGCTGTATGTCAGTGTATAGTTCAAGTCCGCGCACTCGGACCATGACAGTTTTGGTGTTGCGTGGAGCGGCACTTCAAAAAAAAAAGAAAAGTTAAAGAGAGAAAATGATTTTGTCACAATTTCAACAGATCAAAGAAAGCTGAACTGAGGTCAAAGTTGACACCTGATGAGGGCAGATAAAGGACCGACTCTGAAGTCTGTCGTCTGAGTAAATCACTCTCTAAGAAAAAGCCCTTCTCTGTTTTACAGAATGTATTTTTAACACATTATAACCTCTCAGTGACTAATACGATGTTTTAAATCTGTTTTTAAACCACCACTTCAGCTCTGTGGCGATCTGGGCTTGAAGACCTAAAATGTGCAAAGCTTAAAAGACAACAGCGTTCTCACGTTCAGTTTCATCAGCATTGACTGCGGGGACGGCAGTGGACACTTTTTTCCCAGTGTTTTTAACTGATCCTCGGCGTGGACGGACAGAGTCGTCCTTTGACGTGTCCGGTTTAGATTCACCGACTTCTCCCTGTGAGCGACGAGACGACAACAGGAAAAGGAATTATTGTGGATCGTAGTTCCTCAAACAGAAAAACTGCAGTTCTAGGAAAAATATAAGTATTTTGACTTTCTTCCACTTTCCTTTCATGTTGCACTTTCACTGGGTAACTGTTTCCCTTTTTGAGTCAGAGATCATTTGATACAATGTTTTTAAGACGCGAGATGACAAATGTTGGAAAATATTGTGATAGTATCTGAAACTGTAACGAAGGAGGATAATTTTATGCTTTGAATAATAATTTTTACTCATATATGAAGTTTGGTGGTTCTAACTTACCATAATCTGTTTTCTCGTGGGGAAAGTTCAGTTCTGGTCAGATGTTTATTTACAGCCATTATTGGTGTGAAGGTCAAAAAAACGCTTTTGACTTTTGACGTGGAATTAAAAACACAACTTTAGTGATTTTTGAAAACAAGAATGAGTGAATGAAAATACCCTGATTAACGTTTGGATGAAAGTTTGTCACTAGGTGACAAATTGACTGCATGTGTTTAATCTGATGCAACCAGCTGGCTGCATAACAGTAAAGGCTCACTTTATCTCAGTTTTATCAACATTAAGATAAAATTGTTGTTTTATGACAAGAAGTGGAAAAACAACTTTGTAAATTGTCCATGAAATGAGTTTTTATTGCTCAGCAATAAGGCTTTTTGATCATTTCCTGTAATTTCTTGCTTTGCTTTGACTTTTGATGATACGATGAGATAATAAGAAAAAGAATCAAGAATGAACGATAAGAAAAATAATTAAGACATTTTTTGGTTTTGTTTCTCTTTGTCTGGGAAAATTATGATAAAGGGTGGTGTAAGGAAAAGATCATTTTAAAGTTTGACATTTTTATTTGACCTACATTATATGGATTGTCTAAACGAAATCCAAAATATTGTTTGCAAGAGAGACCTGCTTTGATAAAACAACAACAAACAATTACAAACAGCAACAATATAAGTAAGAAATGAGCTAACACTCTTTTTTTTTCATGTCCTCTAAGAGGCTCCATAAATCTGTTCTAAATGATGAGACTGAACATAAAAGGTTTGACGCCCAACAAACATTAAGCTGAGGATGAAATCCTTAAATCAGAAATAAAGACATGATGCCAATCAGATGACGTTTTCTGCCAATTTTTTAGAACTGTGTTGAACTGAAGGTGTATGAAACTGAGGAGTATTAAGGATAAATCACCTGATTATCAAGCATAGGATGCTTAAAGAACTGGTAAGAGATGAAGTATTTGTAGATGACGATCGGAAACTCAGCAGCCTTTTTATCCACGTGCATCAGTGGGTCTGGTATTCCCCTCAGCCTGGTCAGACTCAGCGTGACTGATGCCACGTCCTCCACCATCTCTACGACAGCAAAGGAGATGCTGATCTCACAACAGGTTCACACACCCAATGCGCTAAATGGGACATTTTCATTTCACGCCCTCACCTTTCATCCTGGCCAGTCCGAAGAAATTATACCTGTCCTCTGTGGTGAGCCAAGAGGAGTCCAAGCAGCTGAGCTCCGGGAGGCTGTCCACGGTGAAACCTGGATACGATGGCGCCATTGTGAAGGGGTTGCCCTTAAGCGTCAGGGTCTTGAGGCAAGGCAGAGTTTCCAAGGCGGACACCAGAAATTTCTGCTCTTGGAAGTAACAGTTGCTGAGGTCCAAACACGCCAGACGGGGCCTGAGGGCGGAAAGAGTCAGGAAGTTTTTCCCAAAGCAGCAGCACAACTCGCTGCAGTTCAACCGTTACATGCTGCAGCTTTTTTTTTTTAAATAAAAAAATATTTGTTAAAACTGTCAATATGTCATGAAACTGTAATGTGAGACAGACAATCTATGAAAAATATTGAGCTCTTCTGCCTTCTCCCTGCTTTCACGTGAACAAATACACTGTTCTGCCAGACACAGCCAGTCAGAGGCAGAAGGAGGGCTGTCAATCAAGCTCGTGCATGTGCTGTTTAGGCTACAGTCGTGAATGCTTGGCCACCAGTCATGAGGAAAATTATAAATCCAAAAAACTTCACACAGGAATAGGATCAACCCCAAATGCTTTCATGAGAACAGATGATGAAAACTGAGCTGAAGAAGGCGCATGTCAAACGGCGTGTTAACTTTACTGGTCTTCAGTTCCTCTGCCTCGTTAATAAAAGCATGCTAACATTTTTAAGAAAAGGGTAAACTATCAGAGCACCTCGGTTTCCACATATAAACACTAAAAAATGGCTTTTCCTGAACAAATATTGGTAAAAAATACAAATAAATTCAATTTATGTTGATAGATTATCTCTGTCCAATCTGAATGAGGTTCAGGAAATTCAGAAAAAAACAAAAATATGTGTAAAACTGCCAGTGCACCGCAGGGCGCCACAGGAAGTCATTTCTGCCTGTTACCTTCAGGCTTTACATGCACAAGTCTTTGCTAATTGATTAAACAAAAAAGCAATTTCCCTTGGGGATCAAAAAAGTATATTCTATTCTATTCTGTTTTGTTTTATTCTATTCTATTCTATTCTATTCTGTTTTGTTTTATTCTATTCTATTCTATTCTATTCTGTTTTGTTTTATTCTATTCTATTCTGTTTTGTTTTATTCTATCTATTTGTTTATTCTATATACTATTCTATTCTATTCTGTTTTGTTTTATTCTATTCTATTCTGTTTTGTTTTATTCTATTCTATTCTATTCTATTCTGTTTTGTTTTATTCCAAAATGTTTGCTTGCTGTGTAATTACTAAATTATATGAGCTATACAAACAATAAATCTGCTGTGTCTCATTGACTTTTTTTTAACTCACTGAGTGATCAGTGATTTCATACAAACATGAACTCTTCTGCTGAAGGCAAATCAAAGAGTCCCTGGGGTTTCTGCCCCCGTCTTCGTCTCCGGGCTTCAGTGGGAGTTCCCTCTGAAATCTGCTGTCAAATCAGAAAAACCTACAGCGCAGTGAAACATGTTGGCATTACGGGCTTTCACATCCTGACCTCATGAGCAATCAAAAAGCCCACAGTTGTAACTGAGCTTTCTTTTGACCTGGTTTTGGGTCACCTCTTTAAAAACCGAACAACTTCCTGCATGTGCTGTGTCTGTATACATATATTAACCATTGTCTTCCTGTAAGATCGCAGATGTCTTGATGGGAACCCAGGCCGTTTGATCCGAGGCCCAGGTACTGCAGCTGAGGAGGCGGGGAGCTTGCGAGGCCTCTCAGCGAAGACAATCGATTTGCACGCAACTCCAGAATCTGTAGAAGAAAAAAAAAAAAAAACAACACAAAAAGAAACAACTTAGCTTTCAATCAGATAGTCATCTTAATGTGTTGCAATATCAGCCTTTACGCACTCATCTGAGGACCTGAGATGAGTGCAAAAGTTTTTGGCCCTTAGTTTGAAGGGCCGATAACCTTCAGACGTCGTACGTAACATCGTGTGACGTGTGATGGCATCAGGAGAATCCCTTTTGATGTAATGTAATGCTTCCTGCTCTGCGTGATTAACTGTGACGCGGCTTTTCCTAACGTGGAAACTACTGAAACAACATTTTATCTGATGAACGCAGAGCGCCGATGCACTCTGACGTAACACTGCGACGTGCCTTCAGCGTGCTGGGAAGATGCTTGGCAGGGATTTCTGAGATCAGGTTGCCGCTCAGGACGAGCTCCTCCAGCTTCGAGAACTTCAACAAGCCTTCGTCAATACACGAGACCTGAGAGAAACAGATGAAATGGCAAAGTTTATTTGTTAGTTAGTCCCTTTCCGCCTGATGAACACAAACCAATGTCTGCTTGGTTTGGACCCTTTGCTTCTGTGCCCATTTCATGTTTTTTGGCAATCTCATACTATCTCAGCAAATTCATGCATCATTTTAACGCTGATTGAGTTGCACAGATGTTTTTACTGCATCTTGTTCCAACAACACTTCAGTATGTATTTCAGTTTTTGCAATAGATGTGCCTTCGGATACATGCTGGAGCTGCACAGTGCAGCATTTGCTCGGACCGCTGAAGGTTTGCATGGATGCTTGACTTCTCTTTGACTATTCTGCTGCTTCTTCCCATAATCCAAAAATATGCATTTAAGATTATCTGGTTACTGCAATGGGAATGAGTATGGACAGATGAAAATTTTATAAACAAAGGTCTATCGTTCCAGTGGACAGACAACAAATTATTACGAATTAAAAAAAAAAAACCTGTCCAAAAATGATTTCCATTTAAAACCATAATCTCTCATGCACTCTTTGGTCACTTTATTAGGTACACTTGTTCAATTGTTGGTCAAAACAAATCATATATCAACCATGGCTTCCTCACATGGTAAAAGAAGGTTCACACTAAGCATCACAGTGGAGAGGAAAAGAGTCACTTTGTGAATCTGAATGTGGTTGGCCAATTTCAGAAACGGCTGATGAAGTGCTTAAAAGTGATTGTCAGGGCCTGTGATTGAGCTAAAGCACAGTTTGGTTATTCGGCACGAAAATCTCCCAAACTACAAGTCCACCTCTGATTAGCTAAAAAAATAATAATAAATTGGAGTGGACCAGTCAAAGTCTGGACATAAATCTAGATAATGTTTCAGACTCACCCATGGCAAAACCAGTTTTTATTTATCTGAGAACTGCTAGTTTATTTTCTGGGCTTATCCTGAGAGGTACGTTTGTTTGATGATTGAAGACATTCAGTTTGACAGCTAAGCACATTTCTGCTGGAGCCTTTTGCTGAGACAAATCCTCAACATCCCCTGAATCCATTTGCTCATTTATCTAAATGCTCATCTTGCACCGATGATGTAAAACGAAATATGCACATTTTTGCCAGTGATTCGTATCGTTTTGAAGTATCTCAGGATGAAATCCCGTCTGAGGCGCTTGGGTTCCGTCACGGCCAGCTCTCTGAGCTCTGCAGCCTGAGGGCTCCAGGAGTCGCTGTACATCCAGGGGGACCGAGGGTACCTCAGCAGGTCCAGCAGGACATCCGGGGACTCTGTTTCCGCTTCGTCTGGACCATTTTTGGTCCGTCTCTAAGATCAAACACACACACCCACACCCACACACACACACACAACATCAGAGTGGTGCAAACCTTGAAGTGAGGACACTGACAGTGAAAACTCACCCAGGGGCCATTCCCGCAGGGGAAGTCGGTCAGACAGAGACGCCTGATCTTCTTCTCTATCGCAGAAAAGAGAGTTTTTGAGTCCATGAGGTTTACCTGAACCTGCTGCTTGCTTATTATGCCGCCATTTAATTGGCGCGGCCTTTAATGAGCCTCGCCGCTGTTTGTTTACAACCCTTTCCCCGTATCCAGGCAACAGGAGGAGCTCTGGCCAGCAGCGCTGAGGCGGTTTGGAGGGAAAACCTGCGCGCGCGAAGACATGAGAAGACATGAGAAGACATGAGAAGACACGAGAAGACACGAGAAGACAGGAGAAGACACGAGAAGACACGAGAAGACAGGAGAAGACATGAGAAGACATGAGACATGAGAAGACACGAGAAGACACGAGAAGACAGGAGAAGATACGAGAAGACATGAGACACGAGAAGACATGAGAAGACAGGAGAAGACAGGAGAAGACACGAGAAGACAGGAGAAGATACGAGAAGACAGGAGAAGATACGAGAAGACACGAGAAGACAGGAGAAGACACGAGAAGACATGAGAAGAGAGAAGAAGACAGGAGAGGACACGAGAAGACAGGAGAAGACACGAGAAGACATGAGAAGACATGGCGTCTTCTCTGTTTTAAGGAGCGAAATGCTGCGCAGGTTTGCAGAACCTGCAGGAGCGACTTGATGCTGACGTGGTGCAGAGGCTCATCAACACATATAAAGAATCTGCTCATAAAATACTGACTGGTGATTAAAATAGAAATAAAGCTGAAAAAAAGAAGTTTTTGTAATAAAAGCCACGATTTGAAAGGTGGCAGGGCATCTGTATAAAGTTTCATAGGGCTCTGTAATCAGTTTCAGGAAATGGAGGGAAAAAGAAACTTAAAAATATGGACGCCTGGTATATTGAAAGTGATGTCCGTATCTGCCAGTATTAGTCGTTTTCTAACATAAAAGTACTGGTTAGATTAATCAAACTGGGCCAATACTAACAACCAATATTTATTATGATGCGAGTAATATTGATTAATATCGGTTATCGGCCATATCAGCAATAATAATGAGAGGCTCACTCATCCCTGTTGAAAACTGTCGTTCATAGAATCTCTCAATCCAATCTGACTGAGAAAACGTCCCAAAAAATGTCCAACTTTAATTACAACAAGACTTTTCCACAAACTGTTAAATCAGGAGACTTTATATAAATTCATGCCACACTTTTCAATTGTTTTTGTAAAAATATTTAAAAACCACGTGTTCTTTCCTCTTTGCAGTTATTTTTGTGTTGCTCCTATATATGCTGTAAATAGATACTTACCATTCAGCTCATTTAAATTAAATTTATTTCAGTTTAGGCCTACACTATTTAAATAATATTTTCCATTTGCCAGTGGTTTAGTTGATGTAGTCCAAAAAGAAATAGCGTCAGTGTTGAGAGATTGTGAAAAAGTTACTCCAATTGCAAATGCAGATGAACAGTTACTATGTATCTTAGGTGGGCTTGTCCTGCGGCGTGTTATCCTGGTGGAAGGGAAAACTGACAGGAGGAAACATGTAAGTGGGAAATTCTCAGATTACTTTAACTTGCCCAAATTTGAACATCTTTAATGTCGTCATGGGTTTGTGGAAACACTAGTCACTGTGAACGAACGCTGTCTGTTCAAGCAGACAGCGACAAGGCCAGAAGAAAAACACCAACATCTCAAAATGACAGATTTTCAACATAAATTAAGTGCATCCTACCAATGTCCCAAACAACCGACCGAAACGCGTTCGAGATTGTGCCTCACAGTAGAGCAAAGCATTACCAGGCAGTTTCAGTGCCGGCTCGAGATAATGCTCTGTGGTACTTTGCTTTGCCTCCACACAGTGAAACCACAATGGTGAGCGGTGCCTTACAACTGCAAAAAGAAAGATTTATGAAGAGATACTTTGCCAAGGTGGCGTCATCAACCAGCTGATGGCATGAAAAAAAAAGAAAAAAAGTTCCACGTTGCAACCCGCTATATAAGCAGCAGGTGCCAGTCCAGAAAGCATTGACTGAACAGAAGCACTTCACACCATGAGCCTGGTTAAAGGTAAGCTCTTCTCCAGTCATTGAAGAGTAATTTTGATGAAACTGTACTTAGTTTGTATCTAAAATTCTCAAATGTTACTTTTCTTTTTTTATTTTTACAAAATTTTCATTTTCTTCAAGACCCGCATTTCTTTCTGAGCATCATTTATCTGTTTTTGTTTATGCTAATCCCAGTTTGACTTCGACAGTATGCAGACGACGTCATCATATTCTTCCATGTCTAACCATTTGCAGATCTCCTGCTTCTCCTCGTCACTATCATGCACATCTCCTTGATGGTCTCCAGTCCGGTCCGGCTACAGAGTTGTGAGGAGAAACTGGGCCTCCAGGCGGCGTATACGCAGTATTTTAGCAGCCTGCTGAAAGACCTCAGTCATGCAGAAACTGTATTTGTAAGTAAACATGCCGAAAGTTTGAATGATATGTGAATGAGAGGGAAAGTTTCACAGACTTACCAAGACTGTAGAAAAGTATGGTAATTAATGATTCATACATGTAACACATTTCCTTACTGACATAACTCAGTCTGACTTCCAGCTGAAGTCAGACTTTCTAAAGTTTTAAAAGTTTACATACTTTATCTTTGTTTTTAGTACAACTGCCTTTTAAAATGTGTGACTTGGGTGTAACATTTTGCGCGGAGTTCATCCCGTAAGCTTTTCACATGGGTTTGTCCTTCTGACAGACCAGGTGTAGCTGAGTCAGGCGTGTTGGTTACCTCACTCCACAGATTTCCACTAGGACTGAGAAAAGGGTTTCACAATATCCACTGCAAAGACTGACTTTGTTGGTCTTTATCTACTAATTTGGTGGTTTCCTCAGAGTCACTGTCCACTTGGGATGCCTGTTTGTGTCCAGGCTTCAGCGCTCTGGTGAATGTCTAGAGCTGTTGCTGTTGTCGGTGTTTCAGCACAGCGTTCTTTCCTCATGACAACATCTGTGTCAAGTCACCAGTTTCTCTCAACATGATGCTGCCACCCCCGTATTTGTGCACCGCATGGGATGGTGCTCGCGCTGGCAGGTTTTCCCCTTCTTCGTCCAAATAACGCCATCTGATTTCAACTCAGACATGCCTCTGAAATCAATCTTTTGCTTTCCAAGTGCATTTGCAAGCTGCAGTCTGACTTTAGTAATTTGGCCTCTTTCTCTAAGACTGGCTTTTCTGCTCATGTTAGCCGGAGGCTTCAGCCACAAATCTTCACCAGGCCATTTGCGTTTGTTTCATTACACTTTTCAAAATATGCTCTTTTCTAAGCAGCTTGAATTGAAGGCAGTCGCACCTTCAGGCATCAGATAAACCAGACATGTTGAGGTCCATAAATATCTTCCTGATATGTTGGTGGACTTCCTGGAATTTGACTGTCACACAAGGAAGCAGTTTGTTTGAGATGTTGCCTTCGAAACCACTGACGTTAACTCAAATATTTACTATTTCTTTTCATCTTTCCATTTTCAAATTGGTTAGATTCAAGTTTCTCTGTGTGGACCTCTGAAAATCTTACATTTTTGTTCTGGTATTTAGTAAAAAGAAATGACCCCAACCAGCTAGAAAGGAAGATTACTCTGATTTCATCTCAGGCAATGAGAAAATAGGTCACCATTTCTTTATTTGGTTGATGTAACCTGATGACTCCAGATTTGAGTGCTGCGGCGTCTCCGGTTCTCACGGCTGACCTCTGTTCTTCCACAGACGGAACAAGTCTTGCACAATACCACGAGGAAGGTGAAGACCAGGAGTCCGAAGCTTCTGGAGGGAATCGCCATCCCGGCCGGAAACATGAACGTTTCCAACGTCCTGAACGTTTCCAACGTCCTGAACTCCATGTATGAAATCAGTGAGTGTCTGACGGGCTACCTGCCGAAGGCCGTCGGCACCGTCCCCATGCATGAAGACGTCAAGACCGTCATCCTGAGCTCCACCAGTCCCTTCCTGATCCCTTTCAGGGACCTGGCCTCAAAGATGAAGGACTGCTGGGAAGAAGGCGAGCTGAAAGTGTGTCCCAAGCATCTGGCAAATAACCAGACACATTACGAGATGAAGCTATACACCCTCGACGTCCTGCACACTGCCGTGAAGTGGACTCAAAGTTACATACAAAGAACGGGCGACCAATGAAGCGTGTCATCTTGAGCTGCCTTATTAATTTATTCATTATTTATTTATTTATTTGTTATTTATTTAAGTCAGAATTGTTTTTTTCACTCTTGGATGCTAATCATTTTATTGATGGTGAATGGCGTGAATGATTTGATCAAAATGGACAAAAATAAAAGTTGACACACACAAACGATATATGTGATTTATGTATTTATTTAAACAGGGTGAGCTTGTTTATTCTTTGATTTCAGAATAATGTCAGATGTGCTGTTGGTTCAAACCAAGACTTCAGCATCAAGTGTTGCTCTCAGCCTTTTGGGGGTCGTCTCAGAAAGTTCATTTGTGGTGACTGCATGGGGGACATTTTCCTGCAGGGTTTCTTGTCATCGATTCACACACACACACACACACACACACACACACACACACACACACACACACACACACACACACACACACACACACACACACACACACACACACACACACACACACTTTCATCCTTTACCACAAATTACTTGTCCAGATGTCGTGACCCTTGAGATCATCAGAGTATGACCATATTCAGATTTTCTGATAAGGAAAAATATATTTTCACATAGAAATCCCTCTATGTGTATTTTTAACCTAAACCTCTTCAGCCAAATGCAAATGAGTAAAAAGGGGAAAACACAGCTATTCTTTTTTTTTTCTTTTTTAAACAGATTAAATCAGATTATTACTTATTCTGGAGGTGTAGGCTTTCCAAGCGTCCAGAGTGTAAAAGCCAATCGCTTTGACAGTCATACGCAGAGGAAAGTATTAAGCTTGATTTTTATCTTGGAGGTCCCAATAAAAGGGATCCCCGTAAGATGGAGGACAGAGAGCGCTTCATCCGAGCCCTGCTGTCGAGACCAAAAAACAAAACAAAAAAACCTCCTCCTGCCATGGATGTCCGAGCCGGTGAGTCTGAAGAACGTTATTCGATCTGAAGATGTGAAACCCCGCATGTTTCTGTCGCTCCGGCTGCAGCTCTGTCTCTCTCTCTCTCTCTCTCTATTTCTCTCTATCTATCAATCTATCTCTGTCTCTCTGCATGTTCATTAACGTCTTATGTGTGTGTGTGTTTTTTTAAATATATTATCATTGCTTTCAGTCCTTATCCCGCTGTGCGTGCTCTTTACGCAAGCGCCGTGCAAACCTGTTGGGAGCAGAGACGCAGTGGAGGCCCTGAACCAAACCATCAGTTTGGCCGCGAACCAAACCATCAGTTTGGCCCTGAAGGAGATCCGAGTCGCTCGGGACCACCTGGTGAGGATGTTACAGCCACTGCTCTTAATGCAGCCTCCAGATTCACAAAGACTTGATCAATAATAATAATAATAATAATAATAATAATAATAATAATAATAATAATAATAACAATAATGTTTTATTACTTTTAAATTATTTCAAAGTCTCTGATTATTAATTAAAGATGTTGATTTGACCATTTCATGGCGCGTTTGGGGGAATTGGAGGCAAATGTTTCAAAGGACATGTCTTCAAATGAATTGGTCTTTTTTTAAATGTGCATATATGTGCTGTGTGCGCGCGGTCAGTTTTAAGAAGAGAAATAATTAAAAATCGTTCATTTCAAGAATTAAAATAAAAATAATAGTCACGTGTCTATATTGCTATAAAAAATTTTTTTCTGATAATCAGCAGAAACACAGACAGGAAACAGGATGTTTTCCGTTTTTCAGTCACTTCACTGAAGGCAGTAAAAACTGCTTCAGATTATTGAGGTGCATCTCAATAAATTAAGAAAATAATAACTAAGTAATTCGTAAAAATAAAATTATTTCTGCTAATCTAGATTATGACATTTTACATCTGATGAAAAACTATCAAAATGACATAAGACCGGCGGGGGAAATAAATAAATTAAGTATATATATATATATATGCATTAAAAATATGAGCAGATAATGTACATCCATGAACTTTATATGACCTCTGTATTTAGTTGCAGCGATGCAGTCAGTGTGGCCTGATTGATTTTGGCTCTGTCTCAATGCTCTCTTGTGGCCCACAGGACGAGTCGCTTCCCGTCGTTTCCTGCTCGTCCCAGAACGTCATGGAGCGCATCAGGCTGCTGCAGGAGCCGCCCTCGGCCCGCCGCCTCTCCACCGTCCGCTGCATGCAGGAGCTGTCCAAGTTGACCCCCGAGGTGAAGGACCGGCTGCTGACCGCCGCCCAGTTCTTTAAAGACGCGGAGCAGCTACTGAGTGGCAACTCGACGGGCCCTCAGAGCTGCAGGCTTCCGGAGTTCAGAGAGGCCCCCAAAGCCTATGAGTTTGCCAAGTGTCTTCTGGATGTTGTGCTGGAAGAAAGACCCAACAAGTTCAATCTCTGATGGAGTCTTGAGGCTGTTGCCTTTTGTTTTTGAATGGAGATGTGTGTGTTTTTTTTTCGGATTCTAATGCACTAAACAATTAATATTTATTTAAAAACAAATGCTATTTATTGAAAATAAAAGCCAGACATTTATTTTGCTTGTGTTTATTGTAATGCAAAGGGATTTTACAACGAGTCGCATGTCAACCCCGGTGAACTTGAACACTTCTCATATAATGCATAAGATATTTCTTAAGCAAAACACCACAGAAACGGAGATGAACTAATATGCAGAGCGCATCTGCAGCGACATACTGTACAAGAAAATACATGCAAGTCTCACAGAAAAGGACAAATGAACCTGGAAACCCACCTTTCTGTCAGAATAAGGTTAAAACACACACACACTCACACAGCAGTTTGAAGAAGAAACTTGTTGCAAACAGGAGATTACAGCTGGCAGCTGCTGCATTCAGATGTGCGATGAACAATCTGAAGACGCAGTAAATTTTAGTTCACAAGTAATCGCTTAAAGTTCCCATGTGCACAATTTCTAACGTCTGATTGCGAATGAACTTAAAGGCTCAGTGTCTCACCAAGTCTGATCCAACCACTGCAAACAGCATCTAAAGTAGTTCTTAAAGTTTCTTTGATGAAAATCTGCTGAATGTTCTCAATACAATAAATAATAAAATGTGGGGTTTGATCAGGTCTGTGAGCTGAAGACTCAACATGCTTCCCTTGTTGCCACTTGTGTCATCCAACTCCTTTCATATTTGATCTGAATATTACACATGATGCATAGTTGCAGTCTTTTTATCACTGCATCCTGTTTCTTTTTTTACATTTTCACAGGTTAATTGCCATGTCGAAAAGCTGAATCTCTAAACAGATTCAGAATCTCCACTAAAAGGCTTTACACTATCAACACGAACATTCAAACAAACACAGATGGTGCTTTTTGCTTCTGTAAACGTCAATGTTCTGCAGAAAACCCCCCCTCCAAAAAAAAAAAAACAATACAAGATCTGCCTGAGGAGTGAAGAGCAACAAATAAAAGCAAAGACACATGAGGCTGCAGGGACCACAGGTAAGGACACTTTGACCTTAAGGCTGATGGAGGTCAGGTACATCCATCTGGAGTTTTACTCTCCATCTGTGAATCAGACAAATCTCTTTGCTACGCCTTACGGATGACTCACTCTCCTCCTTGATATGGCTTTTGTTGATCTGTTACAAATTAAGGTAAAAAGCTTAAAACAAAGAAATCAGCCCATAATGCAGATGTCTGCTGAAAAGGATGAAGGTCTTGATTTGTTCAGAAAAAGGGACAAAAATCTTCTGCAGGAGTGTAGCCCTGAGTGAACACCAGCATCAAGAAAAGACTCAGCAGAGTAATACTGCATGTAAAAGTAATCTGTACACATAATTCGTACTGCATCAGACTGTCAGTTTAGCTCCCTATGAGGGCTGTAAATATGGCTCCACGCTGCCGTTAAAACACACAAAATGTCCTGAGACTCAAACCCAGGAGAAATGTGCTGCATGGCCGAAAAGGGGGGAGTTCAGAATGGACGGAGAAAAAAGGAGATAGACATGGGACCGGTACCGATGTTTTAGAAAGTTACAGCGTCAAAAACAAAAAAACAACAACAAACAAACAAAGAAACATTGCTAAAATTTACATTTCCTGCAACTTAGTCATTTTATTAACAAGCAGGATGAAGTGCAAGAGCAACCTGAGGTTTCTCAAGGTGCGTGAAGCATCGAGTGATGCAGAGCTGTCCTGTTTCCACCTGCTGCTGCACACTGCAGGTCAGCTTGCTAACAAAAAACAAAACAAAAAAAAAAAAACAGGCTTGCTGTAATTTTCCCCTTGTATGTAAAAGACACATTTAGCTCTTTGGAGGCATTTCTGTTCACAAAAAGATAGAACTTATATAAAATGTTAAGGTACATAAATAAACATAGAATACTTATATGGACAACTATGATCAAAATTGGTGTTTATTCTATATTTTTGGAACTCCAAATCAGCAATAGTGAAAATGTATTACTATAACGGTCGTAGTTAATGCATTGATGTAGTAGCAGTAGGGAGAACTGATGCTGTTCTGTTTTGTGAATAAAGATGGTGAGTTTGTGTTTGGTGGTAAGACGAAACCATAATATTTTTACAGATTATGATACCGGCCCATGCCTACTACCAAACGAGCAGAAGAAGAGATCACTGGCAGCGTGATGTTCACCTGAGTCGACGAGCGATGGAAAACTCAAATCTCTGCTGCCCACAAGGCGGGCGCACCCCAACATGAACTGGTGATCGGCTGCAAATTAAACTCCAGCTTTCTCTGGAAAAAATAAAAAAGTCAGTTTCCTCCTGGTGCAAATTCATTCAGCGTTTCCCTTTCTTATCCTGCATCTTTGTATTAGAAAACGACTTTCTATGATGCAGAATGAAAACACAAGTACCAGCTCCCAATGAGGTGTTTAGGTAACCTCTGGAGGTGAAGGTGGCATCTAATGCGTTTTTCTCCCATCACTCATGATGCAGCGGACCAGATGTAAAGCCGTAGCAGTAATCCCGTCCCATGTCACAGTTCTTGTTCCACCAATTCGTCTGGGAACTTGTGAGTCTCTGGAAGACACAGCGAGCTTCCTGGATGTTGCAGGAAAACAGTTTTTGATGCTGAAAAATGTTCAAGTGGCTTTTGGGTCGCGTCCACTCCCGAGAGGATGGCTACGCATCGTTGCTCGCGGCAGCCTCGAGGGCTTCAGCAGGAAGCAGGGAGGGATCGCTCAGGATGGAGGTGGTAGTGCACAGCTGACGGAGTGTACTCAGCACCACTGGTAGGGAAAGAGAAAAAAAAAAACCAAAAGGTTTCTTTAAAACAAAACCTGAAATCGGTACTCAAACATTCATCATCGTTAGCTTAATACATCCTCCTCATCTTTACCACACAGCAGGAAGTTTTTAGAATAATTTGGCACTTTAAACAATTCAAATAACATGTACAGAAAACATTTATTCATACTCTAGTTTATTAAATTTATCAGGATTATTACTGCATGAGTGATTATTCTTCAGCTGGTAAAATGTTATTTAACCCCGACTGATGCATTTTCTAAACAACGACGTGGAGAGACACATCAAGAGGTCAATTAAGAGTTATTGATTTGCTTAAGAAAGAACAAATCATTAGAAAACAAATTCGAAGAAACTACAAAATACAAGTTAAGAACTATCCAGCAAATTATTAGAAACTGGAATCACAGTAGGGAACAATAAGCAATGTGGTGAAAAAGGATCCTTGACTTTTCAGCAGTAAATAAATATTTTCAGCTGAATTAAAATGATCTTATTTTAAAGCTTTTTGCACACATCAACCAAAAAGGTGAATAACTCATCAGGAAGAATTCAGATAGAAAACAAACTTCTAATAATCTATAAAATCCCTCAAAGACTAAAGGAAAACTTCACCGAGACATTTTCTTTTCTGAAAACAGTTTCCTCCTTCAGCTGAGGACAGGATTAGTGAGAAAAGCAAACAGGTTACATATTCAATCTGTGGGACGCAAGAAATGTGACTGCAGAACATGAGCAGAAATACTGAGTGTTTTCCCAGAGAGGGCCGATACAGTCACATGACTCTATGCCCCCACAGAGGTTTTCATGTTTTTAACACTGTATGTTTAAAATGACTAATCAACGTAAAAACACTGCGACTCAACACAGATGCAATGCAACACCACAAAAATGATTTAGAAAGTGCACAGTCACTCTAAAGGTTTCTTATGCTCATCTCATGAAGATACGCATCAGGAAGTGTTTGAAGTGAACACACTGGAAGTTGAACCTCTGTCCAGCTTCCTGCTTCCTGTTGAAGAAATCCAACCTCTCAGCATGATGCTTCCACCACCATGTTTCACAGAGGAGGTCGTATGTTCAGAAAGAGGGTGTCTCATATCCATAAACTCCAGATTAGTAGAACAAATTGACATTTATGTTGATAGATTTTTTTCCACGTGGTGATTGACTTTGGCAGCTCCTCCAGAGCCTTCATGAGCCTCTCTGCTACTCCCCTGATCAATATTCTTCTTGTCTGGGTTACCCATCACGTGATGTAGCTATAGCTGATCAGCTTCCATATGCTCAGATACATTGAGGTTTATATTTGTAGAAACAAACCAAAAAACAAAGTTTGCAAAGTTTCTGCACAATTATGTGCTTCTTTGTGTCTGCCTATATAAAATCCCAATAAAATACATCAGAGTTTGAGGCTAAAATCTGACAAAATGTGGAGAAAGTTCAGGAGGTATCAGACATTTTTTTGATAATAAAGTCCAATGGCTATGGATTATCATTACTGCAGATGATCCATACCCATTACCTAAACCTAATTTAAACAGGTGATGTTTTACTTACTGGGTCGGAGGACAGGAAGGGAGCAGTGATTGTCGAGCCACTGCAGCGTGGTGTGACACAGCTCTTCTCTGCTCGTTGTTGAAACCATCCCACTGAACGACTCAAACAGTGGTTTGATGATGATGCTGAACTGAGGCGCGCTAGTCAAGGATAAATTCAGCATCATTCAACACCAAACATACAATGTAACGCGTAACGTCTAACAAAACATGTGCAACACTCACACTTTTATTTGAGCTTTTCAGTCTTTTCTAAAAGTGCCCGTTTGTATTTCAGTAGGAATAAAAAAACATAAAATACTGAGGATCAAATGGAAAATAAACACCTATTCAGATGTCTTGGTCCAGCAGAATTGAGGGAATGAAACACTGATGAGAGGCGTTACCCCTTTACCAAATGATGAAAACCTGAAACTAAAGAGGCACCAATGTGGAATATTTGGTTTCCTTTGTTTTATTTTCCAACCCTGTAAAACAGAAAAGAGCAAATGTGTGCTGCAGGTTCTTTGGTATAGGTAGCAGTGTTCAATCAGACATAAAATAAAGAAATTACAATATTTGCCTTATTTATGCATCCAGGCTTTCCTCTAGTGTATCATAAGCCTGACAGCCCACAGGCTTCATTTGTGCCCCGCCAGGCTTAGCATTGCTTATTTATTTAAGTTTTTCTTAAAGGTCTGCATTTTTTTAAAGACTTGATAGTTGGTGTTCAGATATTAATCTTCTGATCTTCCAATAACACAATTACATAGTGATATACCAAGTGATATTTTAAAATTTCCTGTCAACTTGGAACATTTTTTTAACTCAAAAACACAACGAGTGTCTGGATGAATGACCACCGAGCGCCCCAACCACCGGGCTTAGCAAGTTTTCTGGGGGAAACTTTGTGCATCAATTTATTTATTGTGTCAAACAAACAAATTGTATCAAAGTTCATGTTGTTGCTGATACTTTACAGTCCAAACAAAGTGGAATGTCTTAGATTGATGCATTTACTGATGAACAAAACAAACAAAAAAAAAATTTTTCAGTATTTTGTTTTGCGGATCATCAGTCATAAATAAACAAGAGAAAATTGGCTGATTTTGGCCTCTCCCCAACTGATTATTGTTAACACACAAAGTGAAAGTCGAACTTGATTCAAGTATTTTTCCACCATCTTGAACAATGCTGGTTCAACCTGAGAAACATCAGAAACCACAACGCGACGTCACTGTTCGTCATTAGAGCGCCCTTAACGAACCATAGTGTTAAATCAAACTTTCTTTATGGAGACAAACAAAAAGCACAATGCAAGATCCATCCAAATCGATGACTCAGATAAAAACATTTGGCACATCCTGCAGGTTTGTCATTTAAAACCACTGATGGCTTTTTATAAAATACTGTAAATATTAATAAAATGCAAATCAGCAGATGATTAAATTAATTCTTTAAATGATAACATTTTACTACCAGTTAATGCACTTAGAAATACTTCTAATAACATTTTAAAGCTCAGCTTTTTCCAGCTAACGATTAATCGATTATTAATTAATTAATTGATTGATTATTCCAATAATCGATTCATCATGATTTATCAGAAAAAGGCTTCACTGATGAGTTCATGAGGAATAAATAGGTGACTGAAATAGAGAATAGAAATAGAGACAATGTCTGATTTATGGCATCATTAAGCAGCATGTGGGTCACACAATTCAGAATCGGTTCACTTTTTTATTTATCCTATTAACTGTATCAGCTTTCAAACAAACTAATACATTGTAAAATTGTCAAATGTTATTGGGAGGATAATGCACGACTGTGCATTGGGCGTGTGCAAGATCTGGTGTGACAATGACATTTGGGGCAAACACTAGCGAACAGCGTTTGAGCTCCGATCAGACTGAGGATGTTTGGTGTACAGATACTATAATGATGTTTTACAGAGAGGCAAGTGAGTCCATTTTAAAGGTATGGCACTGAATGCTGTTTGGGTATCTTAACTGCAAAAATCGAAAACTCAGATTTTAGCTGTGATTAAGACATCAGGTCAGATTATGGGTACAACAGCTCCCCTAGAGGCCGGTGTTTTAACAGATTCCCTTTCATGTTCTTCATTCGGATATGAAGATAGAGAGATTTTCTTTACAAGCTTTCATTCCTTCCTGAATCAGTTACATTTATCAACAGACACTGAGATGAACACATCCAGTAGAAAACTATCTGGATAAGTAGTTCAACAATATTATGTGAAGAGGCTGGAGGAGCATGTGTTGGTTCCAATGTGTTTTCAATGAATAAGTGATTCTTTAAATTATGTTTTTATTAATTATGTACATTGTCTCCACTCGGAGAGCAATATGCCTGCGGAGTGTAAATTTCTTGGAATGGAGAATGAAAAGACTTTGAATGGGTATAAAATGGTGTCTAGAGTGAAGTGAGACAAAACACAGCAAAGAAGGGAATCTTAAAAAAAAAAAGAAGAAGAAGAAGAAAAGAGCAGAGAACTATTGACCTGATGATCCAGGTGATCTGAGCTGCCTAAAGTTTGACATTATGCCGACTCCCTGATGGGTCATTCAGAAAACCAAAAACACCCAGTCTGTTAAGAAAGCTCTAAAATAATGTTGTAAATTTCCTTTGCGAAAATGTATGATGCAACTGGGAACACTGCAAATACCCCGACTCACTATCTGTCAATGCAATCTACTTTTCAGAAGACGTTGCACTGTGAAGATCTACTGTGGCTACAGAATTACCCATAAGGGACAAACTGAGTCACTTAAGAAATGACTCAGTGCAAGAACATCATGTCTCACTGGCTCCCACACAACATTCATCACATTCTTTACTGAAACAATCTTATGTACCGACAGCACCTGCTTTTCCATTTGTAATGAAGCGCAGCAGAGGTGAGCTTTCTGCTTGAAAAGAGGATTGGAACAATTTCCACATGAGTAAAAACACAACACTTCTTCAGTATTAAAAAGTTGGGCATGCTTTCTCTGAAGGATACAATCCAGAACTTCCAGTTCTGGAGAGTGCGGCTCTTCACATATTCATTAAACTTATCCTGCATGAGGTCAGAGCGGTTCTTCCTTATCGGCACACCCGTCGCAGGCAGCTGCTCCTGACACAAGCTGTGGAAGAGACGCAGGGAGTTCGTTTGTCAAGCATGACTTCAGTGAACAGTGTTGTTCAAGTTTAAAGTTTTGAATGCTTGTAATGTGTTTGAATTAAGACCGTCAAAAGCACCAGACATGCAAGAGGTCATTAAAGGGAAACTCGGTTCTCTGTGGAGGTTTGTAAGCTGATAACTTCTCTGCTCAGAAACATAAATGATGAACTTCTTCTGTGACTCCAGCCTGAAGGTCTCGATTTCCAGCTGTGGCCATAAGTTTACATACCCTGGTGGATTTCCATATTTTATTCAGTAAATGTTTTGCCAAAGCCATTTATTATCAAATAATTGTGTCGTCTTTCTGCCCTCAATGACGGCAGAAAACCCCCAAATAACCTTGGGGGTCATTTTGTTAATTGTGCATGAAGTGTTTAATTATAAGATTTTATCGGTTTTTTAGTTAAAAATAGAAAAACAAAACTTTTGCAAAATGAGACACTTTCTTCTCAGATGTGTGGAAAAAAATAAAAAAATTAAGACGTCTCTCATCCCAATGGGAGAATAAATGTTGCATTGCTTATTGTCCAAGTATCTTCAGAGTCGCTGTGGATGGCGTTGCCGTGGGCAGGAAGGGACTCCAGTAGCAGTCAGTCTTGCAACAACTCTGAAGCGGCTTCTGACTGAAGGTTATCCCGACAGCTCAACATCAGGGCAACAGAGGACATAATCCACCTTAAACTGGCACCATTTTCAAACACCGCTAATCCACCTCATTAGATTTAAATCTCTGTCTGACAGTTTGATCAGGAAGTCGGCCAGAGAAACGGAGTCAGGGATACGATCCAGTCATGATCGATTGAAGAGATGACGACTTCCTCTCTCTGTGTCTATTAAGTGTCTATTTCCAACTCTGTGATGTGGGGTCATAGTTCAAGTAATATTTGAGCTTTTGCTAGGCTAATCAGATCCTCCCAATTGTAAATGCAATACTTTGTTTTAAATTTACATAGTTTATTATAAAACCCTAATTCTCCCACCAACTCGGCATATCACAATTATTGTTTTTAGAGTTAAATCATCCCAAAATGTCAGTGAATGTGTGAATCTGACAGACCTAATAGAAGCATTGAGCTCCTCTATTTCCTCCCGTAGCCTCTTGACCTCGTCCTGCAGCTGCTGCCGCTCCTGCTGGAGCTTCCCAATGTGCTCCACTGTCTTCTGTAGAGTGACTGCATTTGTAATCTGCAGGCAAGCAGTGAAGAAACATGGTGGAAGGTGAACATTAGGAGGCATGTTAATAATCGGCATAAGATTCCAGACTTACGTTCGATTGTGACTTCAGAGTGGGAACAAGGTTGCCGAGCGTCTTAAAGCCAATGTTGATATTTGATCGTCTCTTTTGTTCAGCAGATATGTGACGGCTCTGTTACATAAGTTATTAGAAATAATGTGTGTTAAAGGGAGAAACAGAAACTAAGGATTATTCATTTTTCTTCTGTGATAAAACCTAAACACAGATACAAACCTGATTGTGCTCACTCTTTATCAGAGGTTTGCTGCTTCCGCTGATTATAGATTGAGGACTGGGAACCTGATCTAAACCACAAGGTGACCCTTGACTGGATCCGGTCTGACTTTGACCTACAAAGGAAAACATTAGTTATTTAAAATGAAGCCATTTGCAAAAGTTTTCATCCTCTGTGAAGCTTTTCATCCTTTTGAACATAAACTTTGATGCGTTTACTGGGATATTTTTACCCAAAGTAGTGCACTTTTGAAAGGAAAAAGTATGGCTTTCAAAATCTTACAAAATTTCACATGTAAGCCAAAAAGTCATATTTTGTTCTCTTCTAACTGAAGAACCTTTTTCCACATGTTAGCCAGATTTTTGTCGTTTTCTTGTCAGTATTCAGTAAAAGCCCAGTTTGTGGGGGTCAACAAGAAATACATGTCCTGCCAACATTTGAGATGTGGATTTCTGCAGCTCCTCCAGAGTTCCCTCATTAGATCTCGATGATTCTCTGGCTAATGCTCTCCTTTCTAAGTTTGCAGTCGAGCCAGACCCTTTCTGTTTTCAGATAATTAATTAACAAATATTGCAACTCAGCAGCTTTTGAGATGAAAATGTTAAATTGAATTTTATTTATATGTTGCAGAGTAAAGAAGGCAGAATACATTATTAACCCTTTCATGCATAAATTATGATCCTTTGTGTCAGGATTTTTTTTTTATTTTCTTAAAGCATAAAAAAAGGTAGGAAATTTTTTTTTTCATTTTTTTTAGGTGCTCAGTTGTAATTTTCTCCAATTACAAAGTTGTTATTTGAAAAATACATCCATAGTATTGTTCTTTAGGGGTTATCTGATGTCACAATATTTGTTTTACCTGCAAGAGTCGTCTTCAGTAGAAGGAGGGACCGGGTCGTTTGGCATGCTTTATTGTCTGTCGGATTTGACAAAAATAATTTCTTGCATTTGCAGCTCATGGTCAGTAGTTGATAGTGTATTTTATGTCCACTTCAGTGGTCTTTGTGCATTTATAACATAAAAATCCACAAGAAGCACAAGAAAACGGCTTAGATAACTGTCCACTGTAGTGGCCGCCATGCATAAAAGGGTTAAATATTATTATGCATTACATTGTGTTGGTAAATTGTATAAAACTGAAGTAAAAAAAAAGTCTAGTTGAAACACAAGAAAATGTGAAGATGTTCAAATCATAGGAATATTTTTGCTGCAGTTTAGAGTCTCAGAGAAGATTTCTTCAGATAGAGAAATCTCACCGACACTTGAGGGCTCTTTCTGATTTTTCCTGAAGCAAGACTTGTCTTCGGGGACGGCAGGTTGCGACGACTTCTGGTTATGAGGCAGAACCTGAAACCCAGGGCTCTGACATAGAAAAGAACAGCTTAAATTAGATTTGAACCCAAAATGACCAACATGGATGTTTACTTAGTAAAACATTGTTTTCATAACCACAAAATGAAAATGTTGTCACAGTGTAATTTTGTATTTGATCTGGTGTAACTAAGTAAAACCTTACCGCTCCAAGGTGGGAAGGGGTGATAACCACGCCGGTGGAGGGTGGAGATGTAACAATCACAGCATTAGCATGACCTGGAAAAGGGGCTGAAACGACATGTGTGCATTCATATTTAGGAGAAAATAAATAATACAGGAAGTATGTGGATGGATTTTTACTGACAAATAAAATAATCAAATAAAAAGGGTCAACTTTCTGAGTGAACGTCTGCCATGTAGGTAAATGAGTGTTTGGTTTCAAGTTCAATTTACCCTGCAAATGTTTAATATTCTTATTGCAGTGAATTAAATCGATTGAGAAAATGCCACTAATAACACTGGTCAACAGTCTGAGGGTTTTCATCTGTTTTAGGGTAATTTTGATGTGCTGAACCCAAAAATCACATTGGTTTTGCTCAAGTAAGTCAACTTTCTGAACTAAGGAACACAAGCATCAAAATGCAGGACTTGTTTTCACATATGGATCAGTTTTCTGAGAATCTGGGATCAATGAGTGACAAGCAGGAGGAGAGACTCCATCAGGATAATGTTCAATTTATATGTACTTACCCCCATCAGTGTTTATTATTCAATTAATAGAAATCCAAATTTGTAACATTTAATTAATACACTATGTTAGAAAACATTTTTGTCCTCCTAAAACCCTTTTTTGGATGAGAAACAACTGATAATGTCACAAAAATGTAATCAATTCAGTCAGAAAATCTGATTTCTCTAAATCAAATCAGAATAAAAACCTGACCTGATTGAAAAAAAAATATGTCAGTTTTTGGATTCAGTGGTGCCAAACAGTCCTAATTCAATTTAAAAAACATAGACAACTTCCAAAAAAGTAGATTTTTTGTAACCCTGTGTAATTAAAGTGACACTGATAAGAAATTACAAGATAATCATGCATGAATTTGCTGGCAGACCACAGACCTGGGAGGATGAACTGGGAAGGAGGGAGTGTGTTTGCAGGAGCGATTCTCGGCACAGGACGGACTTTGCTGGCACTGTTGGACTGGAAGGGGCGAGGTAGAGCGAAGACCTGAGGATGCTGGATGGGCGTGGCAGGCAGCGGCGCGAGGAGCTGGAGTTGGGAGCTGGGAGGAGCTGAGACGTGGCTGACGGTGCTGGCTGTATTGCTCGGGGTGACGGTGGAGGGTGATGTGTGCGTTATCACAGAGGGGGCTACAGTTTCATCCAGCACTGAGTCGCTGTTTAAAGGTGAGGAAATTATGGCTGATGCGGAGGATAAGTTCTGACCAGGGAGGCAGGGTAACATAGGGTTGAGGGAAGCTGTGGACTGATTGCTGGAGACCATCTGCCCGTCCAACAAAGGCATGTAGCTATGTACGTAGGCTCCTCTGCCACTGCTGTCTGTCTGACTGGTCTGGCTGTGGATGGACAGTGAGCCTGCAGGCGTAATCTGGTTGGGTGAAAGCTGCAAAGATGACATTAACGGGGCCTGGCAAAGATAACGGAAGGGAACACACTTAGATCTTCCACAATATCCTTAACAATTTGGCCAAGATCCTAAAAAGTTAGTATTAGCTGGAAACTTTCTGTCCTCTGCTGGTACATGACTAATGTTTAGTTTGTCTTCTTTTATGCAATTCTTAAAATGCATCAATGCAAAAATCATATAGAAGAACATCTGTGGGACAATCAGTAAGAGTTTAAATTAATGTGAAGCAGCTAAAAGACTTAATCATGTTACTGTAATTTTAAACTCCCACACACAGCGAATTATAAAACAGAAAAATATCTTCGACCATAAACGTATAAAATATATATTAAGGAGAAAATTTGGTTTTATATATTAAGGACAAGTCAGATCTCAATTAGATCGGATTTTGTACAAAAAACGTTGTCTAACCTTGGCGTGAGAAAAGATCAAGCTGAAATTATTCATATGAAAACATCTTCTTGACAGTTAGATGGGATCAGCTTCATTCCTTGAGAGCTACTATCAGATTTCTCTTTGCTGCTGCACACCTGAACCATTCAGCTCTGCAGAAGCCTGATAAGCCATTCATGTGATTCAGCTGTGCAGGAGGAGATACCCATCTAAATGTTGCAGGATAGTAGATCTTGAGGACTGGAGTCAAACAAATCAATGCAAATTGGAAAATATGAGCTGCTACACTCAGTGACCTACAAAAGTATTCATTCTTTGTTGCATAACAATCCAGACTTTAAAGGTAGGCTTGCAAAATGCAATGGACTGTGGTGAAATAAGCGAAAGATTATGCATGATTTTCAAAAGGTTTTAAAAATGAACAAACAAAAAAATGTTTACTAATACTCCTGACTAAAATCCAGCAAAATCACCTTTCTTCAGAGGTCAGGCTGAGAAGGCCTGAAAAAATTATTATTACTAGTGAAAAAAACATGTTGGTTTTTAAAAACAGACAACTGGTTAGGGCTAACAGGTAGATACAAAAAAACAATATTATAGATCGATTATAAAGCTGAAGTTATGATGAAAAGGTTTAGATCAAAGTAAGTTCCAGTCAAAGTCCAGACCTAACAAAACATTAAAGTTTCATTATAGACTTTTCCCATTCAATCAGACTCAAGTTCAGCTATTTTGCAAAAAAAAAATTGACCAAGACTTAAGTTTTTTAATGACGCTTGCAATACCATTGCAGCTGTAATTGCATAGAAAGGCAATTCTGCAAAATATTGGCTCAGTTGAGCTGCATTATCTTTCAGTAATGTTTTTAAAACCTTGTATAATTTTTCTTCTACTTCACAGTTATGCATAACTCTGTGTTGGTCAATAAGGAAAGAAATACACCAACATTCATGGTTGTAACTTTACAAAATGTGAAATACTTTTGTAAGACACCACAAGTATATTCAAGACGTTATATAAAACGGAAATTATCCCAACCTCAGCTAACTGAAATAAATTCATACATATTTTCAATGAGTGTTAACATCTTGAACATTGTTCATTGTTGATCAGTTTAACCCGTCATGTGTAAAACGCTGTAAACCAAGTTTAGTAATGTTATTCTGTTAAACTAAATTTTTGTGCAGCTACACGAAAGAAAGAAAATGACAGAAGTTTGTAAAAGCTGACCATAAATTCTAGTTAAGAAAAATGTCCAAAGCAAAATCTTGTTGTTTTGGAGCGAGTTAGGGAAGGAGACTTGGGCTGATGTTTACCTGAGACTGGGAGCTGCTGCTGGGTTGAGGGGTGACAGATGTTGCAGTGGGGGAAACAGAGGGAAGGAGAGGCTGACGGAGGCTGTGAAATAAGTCTGGAACAAGAGGCTCTATGTTAGCTGGAGGTTAGTGAAACCACACTAGGCTTTATGTTAGGCTAAGCTTACTACTACTGCGGTGTTACTAGAACATGTGTATGCTTGTGCCCTGTACTTTGTGCTCTATTAGTTTAGAGGTGCTGCTGCAAAAGATGGAACTGTACCGCAACCTTGCAGTGGATCGAAGGAGTCCATGAAGTCCAGGTTGGGCTGTAAGGGGATAAGTCCAGGTTGGATCATGTCTGCATTCCCTGCATGAGCTGCCGGTGATTGAGGGAGAGGAGGTCAGGGGGAGCAAAGTGGTATTTGAAATATAAATTCTGAAAAAAAATGGACCCACAAACTTAAATTAAAGTTATATACAAATTCTCACCAATTTCTCTTGGATTGGGCAAGCCCAAAGGCTGGTGTGAGGTCAGTGTGGAAAACAACGTGTCTGAGAACTCGGACATCAGAATGTCCATGTCAAAGAGGGTGTCCATCTCCATGGGCGCAGGCGTTTCAATATGCCTGCGACTCATTCGACGCACCGCAGCCTCTTCATCCTGATAAAAGGAAGTACGGAGCATGTCTGGAAAGACTTCCCCAAACAGCGATAACTGCTCCTCTGGCACCTTTGAATATTCAAAATGCAACCACCAAGCCAGTTAATGTCACACAAGCATGCAGCATGGTGCACAGCCACCAAGGAGTGGAATAATCTCAATGCATGCATCAATCTTAAACTAGCATTTCCTGTGCAAAACTTTAAGCTATGTAAGTGTTTATCACCAGGAAGTGGTCAGATTAGGCATGAGCCAGTTACTGATGTGAAGCTATGTGTTCAGATGTTATGGTCTCAAAACAACAAAAATTTACTGATACGCTGGTCCTGCAGTTCAAAAACATTAAGTTGGGTCAAATGTTTTAAAGTCAGTGTGATTAACAACACCAACAGATGTAAATACTGCAGTACATTCAATAAGCAGACTGCAGTAAATAAAATATTACAGAAAATACTTGGTTACTTAAAATTCACCCAATTAACAGAGTAATTTTAAAATGTCAAATTCAGTGTTTGAATTTACATTTCATGTCACCATTTTTGACTCAAGCACAATTTGATCCTTGATTTGTCAAAAATAATGTTAGCTGAAGCAGATTCAGGTGTGTGTCTGTGAATCTGATAATAGTAACCACAATAAATCAATAGGTAGCATCACTTTAACAAGACTCACAATTAAGTATTGAGTTTTAGATTTTAATGAAGATAGTTATGCTAAAATCATGGCAATCATTCTCGTTTTAATTTTTTGTAATAATACTGTGAGTGCAGGACACTGCAACAGCTGGTATTTAACCATCTGTGTATCCCTGTATAAACTGAAACCTTATACTGGCCCATGTCTAGATCAGACTGGTTGCACTTCTTATACATAAATAATCAAGATCACATTCATTTATACACAGGAAGAGAGCACTCCAGCTGTGCATTCACATCTGAGCACAGAGCATGAACACAGAGCTTGAAACAACAGCAGAAACGTAATGTTCAAAAAACATTAAACACCAGAGAGTAACCACATAAAAATCACATTTCAAAACAGAACTTTGTTTTTTGTGACATTTACTACAAACGCTCAAATATCTCACAAGTATGCAAGTTTTTTTTTCAGCTTTGTGTTTTCAAACCCCTTCAAAATGCTGTGACGACCAGCAAATTAAAAGGTTTCCAATATGTTTCAGTTTCCGAATGTGATCACTTTTTATGAGATGATTAGCACTTCAACAAAACGGAAAAAACTACTTTGTTTTGTCATTTTTAATCTGGTTTTCAACAAATCATTAAATCACTTCAGCTGCGATGCATTTTTTTGGACATCTGGACAAATTTATATCAGTTACATTAAGCTTTAAAGTCCTTGGTTATCCTGGGTCAAAAATAAATCTTTCAGATCTTTATGATGAACAGAAATAGAAAATTTAATGCTTGATTTGTGCTTTGGCATCTAAGCTGAACAAAGTTGATGAACCTTAAATTTGATTGAAAACCCAGATTTATATGGATCTACAAAAAAATTTAAACAATTAAATGTTGTAATTTTTTGATTGAATGACTTTTTGTTTCCAATGGTTGTCATCTTGTTTCAAATTATTGTAAAAAGCTCTTATTCAAAAATTTAAATTTATAGCTTAGATAACAGTATAAAATATAAAATCTGGAAACTAAAAATGTTACTTTTGTCATACTTAAGGTTTAACAAATTATATACTGTAAAAAAAATTCAGTATATTTCCAGAGTTTTTGAATCATAAAATTATAGATCATGACTTTTAACATGATTGCCATAATTTCCATACCTTAAGTAAGCTGGAAAGGTCGTCATCTTTGTGTTTCTGTAGCTGCAAGACAGTGGAAGCAACATTGGATAATATTTTAATACCAAACAAAAGAAAAGAAAGATTGAAATATCTACAAAATGTCCTTAATTATTGAAGCACTGCATTATACTATAAAGCAATACCCTTTTTTTGAAGTATGTTCTCCATTTGTGATATTCTCTTATCACAATTTCAATTCTTCTTTTCCAGTTTCTCCCGTCTGAAGCAATAGCCTTTTGAAGAAAGGAGAGAAACAGGAAGTTAAAGTCAGCAACAAACACAGAGTTGCACAAAATACTCCGTCCCTACCTCTGCAGGGCGATGGACGTCCAAATCGATATTTCCATCTAGCGGGGTTACAAAGTGACAAACGGGATTCCCCCTTTTTTCCACGTCTGAGGGAAGACAACAAAACAATTCACTCTCAATTCAAAATATTTTTTTAAAAATCTTTTTTTTCCTCTCAAATATAGACACAGGTTAAGAAAGTGTTAACTTGTCAAAGGACCATTTTTAATTAAATACAGTTAAGTTATTAATTAAAAGTACTTTTAACAAGTTTATCTGAGTCACATAAATTCAAATTATCATTTAAAAACGGAAAAAAAAATCACTAGCATTGCATTAATGTTAAAGATGCAACAATACTTATATAGGTAAGTTAATAAGACAAATAATTTAACAGTCTGTCAGATCATAATGGTGTCTGTACGCCTTGAAGCAATCTTGTAAATAAACAACTGAACATAGACTGGAAGGTTGAGCTCTTACACTGCATGTACCAGGCTCTCCATATGGCGTTGTTCAGACGGATCTTGTCCCTCCAGAGCAGTTTTAGACCTTTAAAGTTTTTCCATTTAGGAGACACCAACTTACCGCTGAAAACAAAAAAAAGATTAACAGTGGAACCAGCCACTAAAGGGATCTATTTTCATCAAGACACAAAATGTAGGGAATTTTGTGCAGGGAATACTAATGTTCCCTGAAACACCAACTACAAATATATTTTTGCATTTTCATTTACTTTATATGACCAAAACACACAGTAAAGCATAATTATGAAGTGGTAGAAAGAATATGCACCGTTTCCAAATCTAACAAATTAAAATCTGAAAACAGTGTAGCTCAACAAACTTTAATCTGAAACATAACTACTGTAGAAATTAAATACACTTTTATTTAATCACAACAGCAATTTAATGAACGGGTGGTTTGTACCTGATAACACACACAGACAAGTTCCACTGCACCCTGAGAAACAAAGACTGTATCTAAGCTCACCAGCCTCGCCAAATCTGAGTTAAGTGAGAAACGCTAAAATTACAGGATGTGGACAGACTGTCCATTATAAGAGAACAAGCAACAAAAAGACTGAAACTTGAACAACTCAGAGTCTTAAGTAGACCAAGATCAAATTTATTATTTATTAATATCATAATCCAAAGTTTGATGTGTTTTCATCTTCCTGTTCTGCGTTTCCCCATGTTTTTATTACCCATCTGTCCTTCCTTTCAGATTTTCCTAAAGAATTTGCTGACCAAGCATACTGCAGGATCCTGTTTTGTAACAGCAGAAGGAAAGTGGACAGACTGACGGAGAGGAGAGCAGAGTTTGTTAATTTGATGGCGCTGTTGCTATGAGAAAATGTTGCTCATAATATCTAGCTGACTGGTAACAACAACTAAACAGTGACTGCTCTATTAATAGTTGTTCCAGTGAGGCTAATTTAGAGTGAAGTCTGAGGGAATCCTCTGAGCAGCTGGCTCCGACGCTGCAACTGTAAATAGAGAACCCTGGGTAATGTGAAACTTACACTTTTGCATTTTTTAATCTTACTACCTGTGAACATAAACAGCAGCTAAATTTTTATGTCCAATGCTGGAAATGCAGCTAAATGATTACAAACACTTATTCTTGTTCATTGGCTATAAGAACGACAGTATTTTGGTACTAAATTACAAACGACTGCTTTTATGAGATTCTATTGGGGTGTTTACAAAAGTATTTCAACCATATAAACATGCTCTTATTGCTTTTATGTATAACAAAAAAATTTTCTTTAACTCCTGAGGAAATAATATTTCTTCTTATTATAGTTTTATTAATGTTCTCACGACATAATCGGTGAAATTAAATCTGTTAATCATCATGTTCCTCACTTGGCTTTCTGGTAGATGTGAAGTTAAGAGTTTAGATAGTTTTAAACTTGAACTAAACATCTATTCAGTCGGGCTCTTGGCTGAACTTTGCCCTTTTATATCTTTACCGTTTTATTTCTATCTTTACTGCTGTAAACAGACTTATGTGGAAAATATTACTTAAAATTGATTTTGATTTTTTGTTTTAGTCATTAACATTTTTAGCAAGTATGATCTGCTTAATTTGATTATTTTAAGCAATATTCACATGTACATTTTTATCTATGTTTTTATATTTTATTGCCATTTTTATTTCTATTTTAGTTACTTGCATTAAACAAGCATTAGACTGAATCTGTATCCTTATTTCCATTTTGTATTTATGTATGTGTATTTAGTTGTTTTTAAAAAAAATTACTTTTGTGTTTATGAAAAGCTTTTCTTATATTTCTCTTCTGTATCCTTACTTCCCAACATCCTCATCCTCTCAAATATTTTTTGTTGTTGGGAAGTTTTTTTTCCGTTTTTTGAATTTTGAGAGCGTTTTTTTTATGTTGCACTGTTTTAACAGGAATTTTATCACTGTAGTTAATTTTTTTATCACTTTTGGAGCAGATTCAACCATCTGAGGTCACTGCACTATAAATTGACTCATGCAATGAACACAATATGTGGAGTAGTCACGCACACATACAAAGCACAGTGTTTTACCTGTTAAAAAAGCAAGCGGTCCGTCAGAAGCCGTTATGGGTTCAAGTCTCTTTTTATGAAACGCTGAGTTTTACAAGGTCCCACTTTATTCGAAAGAGTTCAAAAGGATTTTCAAGTTAAGTTGAAAAATGTGTGAATCATATTGATCTGTTAGCTTAATGTCTGTTAGTAATCATGCTAATTACATAACTTCATGTGTCTGATGTTATAGAAACGTCGACAGAACTTTGGGTATCCTTTTTGTTGATTAGCTAATAGCTCACCCTGCAAGTATTCATTTCCTTGTAAGTGAATAACTAAGATCCAGTCTTTCAACTTTAATACAACTTCTCTCGTTCCAACCTATAGCTCAAAGTACATTTAATAAGACAACAGAAAAAAGTGTTGGGTTATGTTTTCTTGGTATGTAAACAGTAACAGCTATGAGTGCACTGATTTATCATCCAGCCGATTTATTGGTGCCAATTTACTTAGTTTTAGATTAGTGATTGGCCCATACTGATGTGTGAAGTCAATCTTATCTATCGATCCTATCTACCTTGGCAAAGGTCTAAACATCCACCACTGTCCTCTTCTGCTCTCCTGTGAGAAAGTTTTGACTGATAGAACAACCCACGAGAAAGACAAACACTACTGTTTGGTTGTGCTCCCCTGCTTTAGCATCAGTCTGTCCTTGAAGAATAAACCGGCTGTTCACTTTTGTAACAAAGGATAAAAACTGTTCTGTAACACTGTTTTGGCTGATCTTCTTCATAACACTTTATCCAGAAGTTAAGTGTCCCAACATGGGGAATTTAAAGGTAATCTAAACATAAATAACATGTTATAATGTGGGATTAATTAAGCTCTCACTTAACTTTACCATGTGAGTTTGTCTTGTAAACCATCAGTAAAAATACTAACAACTCAGTCCAGTTTCAGAAGATGCAGTAACATGCTGCCAATGCACAACCTGATAAAGCCAAATGTCAGAGTATGCTATGTTTAAATTGGGCCATTTTCTGTTTGCAGATCAGTGTTATTTTGCTGATAGTGCCTCCTTTGTTGCAGTTTCCGTAGTTTGGCACTGAGTGACACTTCTTTTACAACCTACAAAGCTCACTTCAGGTTATGGCAGGGTTAGGCAAGGCAGGACAGGTATATTTGTACTGCCTCATGGAGACAAAAGGCGAAATGATTTAGTGCAAGTTAAAGATTGGTGCAACAGGAAGTTATGAGGAGGGAAGACTCGTGACTGCAGCAAAGTGGACAGGAGAGCTGATCATGAGCGTGGTAACACCAGGGGCTAAAAGGAAAACGAATGTACCATAAACACACCAGGCAGACAAATCGAAACTCACCTATAAGCAAGGGTCATGCACTCAAAAAGTTTAGTCAAAGAGGCGTCTATGGAGAGGTGCGACGTGCTCGTCTTGCCAAAATGATAGGTCTGACATGTCTGTTTGTTGACAGTGTCGAAGTCGTAACCCTTCTTCGGGGGGTGCTCACTGTGCGGCGACGACACCATGAAGTGTCCACTGTGGATGATCTGGGACTCCAGCCCGTCCGCCCTCCGTAACCCCATGTGAGTCTCCTCCACGTCAGAGTCGTCATCTTGCTCCTGCTTTATGCTGGGAGCCGGCCGCCTGTAAGCTTGCCGCTGACATGTCTCTCTGGTAGCCATGTCGGCAACTCAACAAACAAATAGCTAACTAACGTTAGCGAGCAAGCTAGGACAATAAGGCTCTTGCTTTCATGGGGCTCGTCATAGACGGAAAACGCGTTTTGAGTCCTGTTGTTAAAGTTTTCCAACTTTATGCCATAAAAATAAAGTCCTCGCTTCAGCCATGTCAAAGTTTGCAGCTGCTTATTAACAGCCCGGGTTAAGCTGTTATCCTATGAAGTTGACGCAGCTGACAAAACGCTGCTGCTCCTTCTGTAGTACCGAGTTCATGTGTTAGGGCCTATCCGATTGGCCAGCATCACAAGCGTATTCTATAAGACCGCTGCTGATTGGTCAGGTTTGGAGCCCCACCCACAGCGTAGAACCTAAAATAAACTGGAGACATGAGACGCATCAGGATTCTTCTCAGTGGCGGATGTTGCTATATAGTGGCGCCCTGGGCAAGACAGTCCACCCCTGCTTTTCTTATTTATCAACTATTTTCACAAATCATGAAACCGATGCCTAAAATACTGCATTAGTGTTTTCTATAGTAATAATAAAACAACAACAACAATGGTTTGTTTCTTGTGACATTGTCCATTTTTATTTCAAATGTGTGATCGAAGAACTAATTGTTAAATTGTGTATTACGTAAAACAACAACTAGATGGTATTTTAATTCCATTTTCAAAAAAGGAAACTCTCAGTAGAGATTTTATCTCGACTTTATTGAAGTTGTAAAAGTTAAATACATAAACTGCGTTTTGTTTGCAGTTCAAATATTATCTGTTTTAATAGTAAACAGTCCATTTTTACAATGTATTGTCATTTCAGTTAGACTTCAATTAGACATATTTTTTGTTTTAAGTTGCTATTTTTTTATATTCATGTGCTTCAAATTAAAAAGGTGTCAGAAAAAAAGCATGCTACTTGTAATCTTTGTGGTAATACATGTTTTCAAATTTTCAATACATTTCAAACTACTCTGACCCATGTTTGTCTAGAAGATGCCCTCAAAATTCACATTTATTCTTTTAAATCAGAGCACACATATAAACATTTAGTGGAGACGTAAGAACATATTATACATGGAAATCCTGAAAGAGTTTCAAAGGTAAAATCTTAAACACATGTTCTTCATGACTTGCTGTCAGGTTGTTGAATTTGAAGATCCTTAACGGAAGTTCTGACTCTCTGCTTGATCCCCAATGGTAAGCCGAGGATCTGCTGTGTAAATAACTCCACAGTTATCCTTTCTGGGATCACACTCCCCAGTGTACATTCCTCATCTGTGTAGACACATTAAAAAGGGATGACTATTTTTCAAGATTTTTTCTTATTTGATTTTGGCTTCTACTTTTTCTCTTTTCATTGTTTCTGATTTGCTCACCGAGTGCCTCTTCTTCTTCTTTCTTTTTTTCTTCTTCTTCTTCTTCTTTTTCATTGACACCCAAAAGGGTGGAAAAACACTCTGCGACCTCTTCTTCTGTCATGTGCTCTCCTGTAGTTCACATCACAGAGCACATTAAGTTCATGTGGCCATTAAAACAGAGGAGGGTCCTCGTTCATGCAAAAGTTACACAGGTGAAAACAGAGTCGAAGAGAAAGATGAAGTGTCTGCGTACCTCGAGCCTGTAGAAATTTTATCATGTCACCTTTCTGGATAATAGGATTCCCGAGAACATTCTTTTTTCCAAGAACATGAAAAGCTTGAACGAGTTCTTCACTGGAGAGACCGAAGGCTGGTCGATGATTTATGTACAGCTTGATAAAGTCCTCCAGGTCAATATCAGTCACATATTTTCCAGTTTCAGCATATCTGCTGAATTTGATCTCATTGAACATGTCTTCAATCTGGTAAAGATAACACAGTGAACTGTAATAAAAGTTCCTACAACTGAAACAGGTTTTTTTTGTGTTGTCCTTATACCTCTTGTTCTGTAGGAAAGTGTCCCAAAGCTCTCATTAGAAAGGGAACTTCTGATAGAGGAATTTTGGTAGTTACTTCTATCCTCTTCATCATGTCAGTGCCTTGATGACGAATTTGGCAATAAAAGAAAAAGTCCTCCATTTCCTAAAGATGCAAATGTTTTAAATATTAATTATGTGTTTGGCTTTCTGGGTTGTTTGCCTAGAGAGCCAAACAAGCTAGAAATGCCTCTGGTTACTGGAGATTTTGGATTCTTGTTGCCAGAGAAAAAAAAAAAGATTGCACATTCTGTGTTTCTTGATATGATGAAACACTATTTTGTCCCAAACAGCAAGAAATGTAACATGGTGGGGGTTAAAGGGAGTCTCTTGTTAAACTGGGTGCATTGTTCATGCATATTTCATTGGAAATGTTTTCTTAAGGAGTCACAAAAGAAGTTACTGAAATATGACAGCTTCTCCAGTCTGAAAATGCTCATTTTTATGCCATGAGTTGTTCTGTCTTTGTTAGATGTGCTTTCACACATCTCAGTAGTAGTGTAGGTTTCAGTGGCAATATGATAGTCCCACAGAGTGGATGTCAAGCTGAATCAACTCCTCTACTCCCCAGATCACATCTTGCAATTAAGGCTAACATAACAACATTATGACTCTTCTCTGGGCATTTGCTTAACTTTTAACTCACCTTGTAAAATCTGCCATCTCTTCCACCCTTGATGAGTGAATAAAAAGGTTCCATGTTCTCTCCACTCAAGGCAGCTGATGCATCCAACACGCTGTGAAAACAGGAAAGAGAAACAGGATCAGGTCAAGTCGGTGCTCTGTTCTCACACTGTCTCTGGCTGATGACTTGGTAGAAGCAAAACTTACTCTAAGTTCACTTTCCATGCCAGAGCACTATTGTCAGAGCCTCCTGCAGTAAAGACAAACTTGCCATCGTAGGAGCAGGAAAAGGTAGACACGCCTGTTGGATGGCAGATCAAAGCACTGGACTTGTAGGGGTTCCCGTCCAACGGCAAAATCTGCAGACCCAACTGAAGGATGCAGAAAATCATTTTCAGTTTTTAAAGATCTTACAGTTAAAGATTAGCCACAATAAAATACTGCTCCAGCACTGACCATATCGTTTGTGATAAATGCCAGGTGACGTGATTTTGTCTTGGATGTCATTGACTTGGGAAGAACCACAATTTTTCCAAGTGGAGAACCATAGGTCGGGCCAAGAAGTGTCTTTCTATTTTTGTAAAAAATATATATATTACCTACACTGCAATTGGAGGTGACAAATCAGATTTAGTCTCATGATTTTACAGACCTGCACATGGTGGTTGTGCTGTTGAAAAGTTTAATCTTGTAATTGTCTGAGGCAACAAGAAGGAACTCCTCTGGGTTGAGAAAAGGATACCAAGTCATGCACCGTGGCACGGCACTTTGCTCTATACGCTTTATGCTGATGAGGAGGAGCTTGTTGTTCTCACTCTTTTCCAACTCATACTCCACCTGTTGCTCCATACAACACATACACAGAGTTACGTACAAGAGTAGTTCATTAAATAAAAATAGTATCAAAAAGTCAATAAATTTTAGTAACCCAATTCAAAATGAAACACAACATTAAGAAAAGTAAAAGGCAACAATAAGTGGATCAGAAAATATTAAAATAAATAATGTGAATTAACTAGTTGACGGTCCAATCCCAGGGAGAGCAGTCGTGGTTTGGCGTTGTACAGCTGGACCCCAAAAAGAAGGTCTTGGATGGGCTTGTAGTGAGAGCGGTACCTGCCCACAAACGTCCACTGACGCAAAGAGTCTTTGTAACCCTTATTGCGGAAAAGTGATACAGCTCTACCAGCATCCTAATAGTGAGGAGACACAAGAACGATTAAGGGCATTTTTTTTTTCACTTTTTCTGAATGAAATCAGTGATCCGTGAAAGAAATAAGGATACTGTTAGCTTTGAAAATAGTTATCTCATGAATAAGTTGCTTGTCTCTCTACTCTAAGCTGGAAACAGGATGAGGTGGACCGTCCTGTTAGCTGAAACTAGCTGAAACCAGAGAAACCGGTTTCAGCTAGTTCAGAGAGACCCCTCTACTTCTAATCTTTAAGTTTCTGTTTGATTGATCAATGGTGTATCGGTAGTTTCACTGAGTGAAAAACCTGATGACACAAACTCACTGCAGTGGCAAGGTACTGTGAGTCATGAGAAAAGGTGATCAGATGGATGCTGTCTTTAATGCAGTTGAAGATTTCCTCAGGGTTATTTTGCAAAGTGGTGGCATCCAGTATGTAAACAGCTCCAGTCCTAAAGCCCACTGCCAAGAATACACCTGCACAGTGACAAAAAGACAACTGATGGATTTTAGATGTCAACCATATTGCAAACAGCAGATAAAACTGGGCATGGGAAGCAGTCTCAGATTTTTATATCATGCATCTTTCAAGAAGCAGACCTGCTCACCTTTTGGGTCAAAGGTAATAGACTGAATCTGCTTTTCTGTCTCGAAGAACCTGTTGCCAATGACTGCTTTGCAGTTATAATCCCACAGTCTTAACATGCCTTGTAGGTTGCCATAGGCTACAGCTGGTTGAAAAGGATGGCATGTCAGTGCATGGAGAGGGTCAAAATCATTCTGAAGAACAGTCTGAATGACTCCGGTTTGTGTATTCAAATGTATAATTTTGGCATTGATTGTGGAAACAATGAAATTCCTACAAAGAAAGAGACTGAAATAAGAAACAGTGCATTGTAAAAATACAGCTTCAATCTGCAATGTATTTTGTTGGGATTTTATGTGATTGAACAACACAATGTGGTTTGAATGAAAATGACTAATTTCAGCATAAATCCATAAGAACTCAGAAGTTTCTTAGAGAAAACTGTGAACAAATGGGAAAAAGGGGTTATAAAATAATATCCCAAGCTTTGAACATCTCACAGAGCTCTATTTACTTTATTATCTAACAATGAAGGGAACCTGGTACATCTGAAAATCTACCAAGACCTGTAGATTAAATGGCAGGGAGGGTAAGGAAGCATCAAGCAGAGAAGCAACTAAAGGCTAGCATGGACATTTGTTGTCCAGTCGGATGATTACCTTAAAAATACGTAAAAGCTGCAATGGAATAGTTTCCTTAACACTGAATGCATGTTGTAAAGCAACTCGGATCGAGTAACATTGATAACACTTGAAATTTTTCGCTCACATAAGCTTGCCTTTGTGTCTGAGCTATTTTGAAAAGAAGAATGCAAACAAAAGTTTAAGCCTCTCGAGGCTTAAAACTAGAAACCACCAAACAATGTATGCAGCTGTAACTGCAGCAACAGGTGGTTCTA